TCGGAGCGTGGAGATCGCCTCCTGGTGATGCATGAGAAGTCTGGTCACCAGCCTCAGCGTCTCCTATTGACCCTGTTGTCCTCGCTGCTGATGCGTCTGGCCCTGAGATTCTCCGCCCTGCTGACCACCCGAGCGGTTCCCCCTGCCGTAGCGATGGCCCTTTCCTTTCCCACCTGAGTTGGGTTTGCTTGCCTTGTTCTGGCGCTCTGGCGCGTTGGCTGTGTCCGTGGGCTCCGCCGTGGTTGGGCGCTTGCCCCTCATCACCGGACCGAAGAGCTCCTCCATCGCCGAGTCTGCCGCTGCGGGGTTCATACCCATGTTGTAGTGCAACAAGGCAGGCTTGCCAGAGCGCGATGCAAGTGGCAAGGTGTTGTCTCGGATGGGCCCTGGCTTGTCCACAGTAGAGGCACGGCGAGAAGGCTCCACCTAGACGGGCGGCCAACTGAGTGGCTTGCTCGTTAAAGACAAATGGCTCAGGATGTTGGCTGCGCATGTGGATTTTAATGGTGTGGGAACGGTCGTGCCATTGTCCACAGAACAGGCAGTGGTGCGCTAGCTCATTTATCCACTCCTCCCTGGAGTCCGGACAGCCGGAGAACCTGCATGGCCTCCGTAAGGCGTACAGGCGAGGTCATGACCACTGGTGCGCTTCCCTCCTCTTGAGTGTCTACCTTAGGGACTGGCATGCCCGTCGGCCTTTGTGTCTCCTGCTGTCGGTGGCAAGGCTTGTCATCATCGGGTCTGGAAAGGTGGGGCACGGCTGACGAGGGTGCGACCACATCCTTAGCCGAGCTGGCATTCTGATTCACGGATGTTTCCTCGGTGCACATGGCGGGCTGGGAGTCTAACCTTTCCGTGGGGAGTTCCTGAGTGCAGCGCTGCTGGGTAACGTGGGTCTCCAGCACCTCCCATCGCGCGAAGGCGACGCCACATAGGGCGCAGATCGGCATACCCTGAAGTGCATGCTGCGCCCGATTGAACCGGACCTTACGCATGTAGAGCTTGTGAACCTTGGTGATATGCCATCGCAAGGTCGAGAGGCTGTGGTATTCCTTGGGACAGTGAGGGCATGACCATCCAGTTGCCTGTACGCGACTAGCCTCAACAGGCGGCGCTATGGCTTCATGGGTGGAGGGGACAGTGGTTGTGGCCGGGGGTGTTAGGGGAGCGATGGGTGGCGGGAGTGGAGTGTGGTAGGTGGCATTAGGCTGTAGGTGTCTAGGATGCACAGGGTCGCGAACTGCGTTGAGCACGGCAGGCCTATTAAGTGGTGACAGGCTGTCAACATCAGGAGCGTCCGCGCTAGCATCCCTGTTCCCTTCAGGCTGTACGAAGTGCACCGTAGACTGACCGGAGTGAGTTGGGTAAGGAGAAGGAGACCAACAACTCTGCAGGTGTCTCATCCATGGGTGATCCGATTGCTGCACATGAACATCTGCAGGATCCCGGCGATCCACCAATACGCGATGTTGCCGTTCCAGATCCTGTTGGGGAGTCTGCAGGCGAAGTCTGGAAAGTAGCTCGGGGTCTGATTATGTGTGATGTGAGCGGGGGCTCTCGCAATCGCGCGAAGTTGCCGCATGAGTACTGTCTGCAGAGAATTAAGCTGTTCCGCGTTGAGACCGCAGGCTCCTAAAGAGTATAGGGCCGTGGGGAGTACCGTGGATCGCCACAACAGAACCCTTTGGCCTAGCGTAAGCTTGTGTCTGCCTTGTAGAACTTTGCGGAGGCGACTGCAAGTTGCTTTACAGGCGTCAAGTCTGTGTTGTAGCGTTTGCTCAGTGAAGTTGCGGTATGAAGCCACTGCTCCTAAGTACACGGTTTTCTCCACTATCGGTAGGAGGAGGTCTTCTCCCGAGGCCCTGACCCGTAGGAATCGCGTGCCTTTGACCACCTTCGTGAATTCAGCAAGGGCAGCTTTGCGCTGCGTTCCCCCTACCGTGAGGATGACAGCGGCTTTTTCGGCATTATCGATCATCCCATGTTTACGCAGGACAGCAAGGACTACTCCTACTCCTTGACAGAGGCGATCAAGTTCATGGCGCGTGTGGAACAGGCCTGAAGCATGGAAGTCGTCGGCATACAGGGTCATATGCCGGGCCGTCCAGCCCATCTCCAGTCTCTGGTCCATCCTTCGAAGAAGCATTGAAGTGAAGGCTGCGAACAGCAGTGGCGACACCGGGCACCCCTGTTTAACCCCTCGGCTGGAGCAGACCTCCGCGCTACAATCTTCAATCGTGATGCGGTACCTGCTGCGCCCTATCCAGTGTAACAGCAGTTGGGCAGGGCCCTCCTGGACGCCGGCTTCTGCCAGTGCTTCCGCCAGTTCCTGGCGGGGTACCAAATCGAAGGCGGTGCTTAGGTCAATGCATATCTGCAGGCCGCCTGCCAGCGGTGCTGGTCGGCGGCCTAAGCGACGGTTGTACAGGGTGCTCCGGTTCCGACTTCTGAGATCTTTGGCCATGCTACAATGATGAAAGACGCGCCTGAGCGCTTCCTGCGTCGACCTACCCTTGATATACGCAAATTGTGGGGTGTCAAGGATGTATTGGGTCACGTCAAATCGGATTTTGTCCATCAGCATGCTTATGATCGATTTACCCAGTGCGTCGATAAGTCCTATGGGCCTATAGTGTGTGGGAAGGGTTCCTGGTTTCCCAGGTTTGAGGAGAAGGGCGAGCTTAGCGACCACCCACTGATCTGACACAGTGGTCTCCCCAGCCCTCCAGCTGTGGGTGAGATGCTCAGCAATGGCTGGCGCGGTAATGTCTGAGCACATGCGCCACACAGCCCCAGGAGACGACCCTGGGAGTCCGGCTTTGGATCCCGGCAGACGCTGGAGGGCCTGTTTCACCTCGTGCTGACAGGCCGTGACGTCTTCAGTCAACGCTACTGCAAGGAGGTGGTTGGTGGCGTCCTCGGATTTGTACAGTTTCTCAAAGTGCTTACGCATTTCGGCCACTTCCTCGGTAGGAGTGAGGAGTTTTCCGTCTATCCTAAGCTGAAACTTCCGATACACCGCCCGCGGCGCAAGTTGATTAATAAGCTTGTGGTGCTCCCTGTAGTCGTGATCGGCCGCAGCTTTGTGAGCAAGGGTGAACATGCCCTGGAGCTTTTGTTTGCACAACAGTGTGCCACGTTCCTTCGCGGCCCGGTGCAGCTTCCGGAAGTACATTGTATGCTTCCAGATTTGCATGGCCATCTTGAGTGTGGGCCTCCCGTTCGACCTGCGAACCAGGGCTGCACGAGCTCTGAAATGCCCCCACATTGTCTCCGCATAGTGCGTGATTGAGCCGTCCTGCCATGGTTTTTCTGTGCGGCTCGGCGGCCTCTTAGGAAACAGCCTACATGCAATGCGATAGATGCCCTCTTGAAGTTGTTCAATGTCCTCGGTTCCCCGATCCACAAGGCTTTTGACCTCAACCCGGAAATCCCGAACCCTTGTGTCCTTCTCATCTCCTAGTGCCGCCTGAACAGCATGACGGTCTACCTCTAAGCGTTGTTGTGGGTGTTGTGCCTGCTGATGCTCCCACGGTTGCCAGTGTTGCAAAACATGCGCGCAGACAGGGATGTGTCGCGGCCCGCCCCTCCATCTACCCACAGGGAAGTTATGCACAGGACAAGCTGTCTTGGAAGCTCCCCGCGCGTGCAGTCTGCGCGTCAGCCAGAAATCGATTTGGGACTGCTGTTGACCCCACTGGTACGTGTGTAGGGGAGCGGCTGTAGCGTAGGTGTTCAGCACGGCCAGGTCCAGGCCTTTGATAGCAGCTGCGAAGTCGGCAAGATCCGCAGCGGTGTGATGCGACTTGTGTAGGATTCCCTGACCCGTGTGTGCCGGTATGGACATGCAAGGTGTGTTGAAATCCCCTCCAATCAGCAACCTACTACGAAGTGGAACTGCCTGCGCCTGTTGGATGAGCCCTTCCAGCGCCTTGTGCCTGAGGGCAAGCACTTCAGGGGATGACCTCCATGTGTGCTGGTAAAAATTTAGAATGTCCACCTGTCGAGAGCCGTGCTGGAAACACACTCGGAGAAGTCTGCCCTTAATGGGTGCGACATGTCGGAGTGTACCCTTATCCACAATCCGTTTGGATACAATGGTGAGCACTCCAGCCTGGCAGTGATCCTTAGCGCTAGTTCCAGAATGAATGTAATAGTGCGTAGAATCTTCCCACTCCGATTCGAACCTCCACTTAGTTTCCTGAAGAAGTACGACATCGAAGGCAGTACTTTTAAGGTAGACCATGAATTCATCAAATAGCCCGCCACCTAGGCCACCGGAGTTCCATGTCAGCAAGTGGTAATGTTTGGGAGGGAGATCCCGGGACCTGGTGGCACTTGCCTGCTTATCTCCCGCGGGGCGAAGACGTGCAACGGAGCCTGGGTGCACACCTGTGGTCCGCGCATCTGGTTTGATCCACTTGCCCTTATACCATGCGCCCCCAAATCTGTGTGCGCGACGTTGGGCTCGCAAATAAGTGCGCTTTTTGATCCTAGAGGAGTCTTGGGTGTGCGACTGATCAGTCGCCTGTCTGCCCAGCGAAAGCTTCGCGGCTTTGTTTGAGGAAGCGGTGTGAAGTACATCCGCTCCTGTCGTGCCCTGGGCCGGCACGACAACCCTCGCGTCCAATGTTCCGGTACTAGCTTGTATGTGTAAAAGTGCAATCCCCAGCCTGAGCCACCAGCCTAGGCGGGGGGTAGTCCGACCGGAACATTCCCCGGACTTGGGACCGGGGGGGCCATGTGTGTGAATGTGTGCCTCTGAGTGTGTGGTGTGTGCTGCCTTGCGAAGTGCGCCCAATACAGCCTGCCATGTCGTCTTGATGCACCCGTTACAAGCTTTGACAACGGCAGTAGTAGTACTGTGGGCGCACGAGATAAGGGCAGGCCTCCAAAGTACCCGCAGCTGACGATGCCAGACGGCACCTATGCCACTCGCTACTGCAGCCCAGAGGTCACTGGGGTTTAGAGCATGGTGACAGTGCAGCACGTCTCTGCGGCTAGTGGGAGTAGGCTGGCCTGTGCAGCACTGGCGCGGCCGGCGCGGCCGCCGTGTACATCTGGTCCTGCGTGTTCGCATCCACGGGTGGTGTTGAAAGGAGCGATTGCGCAATAGGGTAGGGATGTGCCAGTGCACACGGGAGCCAAGGAGGGGGCTAAGATACCCAGTGGGGGCCTCAACCCTACGGGTGGCATCGGGCTTATGGGAGGATCGGAGAGGCATTGGTGGGATGCCCCCGACGCCTGAGGCTGGTATAAGACATGGGCATCTTTGGCTACAGCGTTCCAGAGATTGCAGAACCACTACCGACATTGCAGGTGTGTGGGCGCAGTACAAGTGATGGGTCTTATCCCTACCGGGCGGCGGTTGATGTTGGTCCTGTTTTCCCTGATCCATATCTTTACATCCCTGACCAACCCCCGAATCTCCCGGATCCCACGATTCCCCAGAACTACAAGGCTTGCAACTGCAGCGAGACACAGGCTGTTCGGGAGGTATGGTGAGATCCGTACGCGTACGGAGGTGGGACTTAGCAGGGTGAGTGTGGGGGTCTAGGGGGTCTAGGTCGCCCTTTCGGTCCGGGGTCCATAGGGGCTGGAAAGTTCCCTGCGCAACGAAACCCGCATGACAGAGAGCCCAGGAACCCTCACACGGCTGCATGTATACTCGCACGTCGTAGACCATATCATATCTGTCGCACACCACACGCTGAGCTTGTGTCAACGTAAATGCCTCTGGTGGCGTCTCTTCCCCATCGGCGGATGCATCCCGTGCACTGCGCGAAGACAAGGCCTGTGCTTGATGCTTGACAGCCACCTGAAGAATGATCTGAGATTCCAGGAACAGCGGCGTGCTTGGTGCGGCCAGCGAAGAGTTGACACTGGAGCCCTGCGCGGTGTCTGCTGACGTCCTGGGGCCGTCCGGTGGCCCCTCCTCATCCCCTGAGTTGATGTCAATGACGGTCGGGATCTGGTCTCTGCATGCTTCTATTTCACGATCCTCCTCAGGTGTTACAAGAGGCGGTGGCTGGCATCTGCCGTCTGGCATCTGGTGACGCGACTGCGTCCTGGCGGTGTGATGCTGATTGTCAAGCTGTACCAGGCTGAGTGGCCTCTTCTTAGCCTTCGGCTGCAGACGCGGTTCCCCTTGGTCGTGGGGACGATGTGCCACCGTATTCGGCTCTGCATGTCCCACTGCTAAGACGGAGCTAGACACACTGTCCGCAGCGAAAAGGGTTCCCTGTCGCGCGCCAACAGGCCAAGTACGATGGTGTGGATCATCCTCCTCTGCTTCTCCACTGTCCTCGTGCGACGCCGGCAACGCCGGGGTCTCCGCCCGCCTGGCATAGGCCCTGCCCATCCTGCTGGCCAGAGCCATAAATGCATCCGGCGGCAGCTCCTGCCTGAGAAGTCTGTCGGCAGTCTCGTCTGGCTCACCTGCCGTCATGGTAAACACTGTACGTGGTCGACCGCGGTTCGCAGAAGCAGATGCAGCAGCGTACTGGCTGCCGGAGGCAAGCTCTGCCCTGCTCTCAGAATCCTCATCTTCCGGACGCTGTCGGCTATGCCCGTGCCGGCGCCGGGCCATCGGAGCAAGGTAAGATCTAACGACAGACACCCTGGGGTTCTGGCAGATTTTATGGGGATGGTGCCAACGCTGTTCTAATCGGCTAGAGTCCCATAGGAGGGTGTAGGGCGTGGGTGGTATCAGGTGTGTGACCTGGGCCACAGCTCTACCTTGCGAGTCTGGGTTGTGCCTGTAGGGCCTAAACCAAAAGGGGCTGAGACTGTGGTTCCATGCACACGACTGCAGCAGTGGAATTGGGTCTGATGGAGGTCCACGGGCAGAGTGCGCTCCTGATGGGACCACGCTATGCTGCCGGTCGGCGCAGAAGCTCGGCGGCGGGCGTACCTGTGGCGAGTGTTCAGGTGATTTTGGGTGGTAGGGGCTGCGGTCGAAGCTTCTAAGGGGGGCGTCGCACGATCCAAGCACAGTCGCGAGGACGAGGCTCTCATGGCTTGCACTAATGCACAACCCTTGCAACCTCTGATGGGGTCCCGGAGCGGCAGGTGCCGCGCTTGCAATCCCAAGAATCCCTGTCTGAATCGACTCCAAGGGTGCACACATCCGCCACGGGGTAGAGTCGAGTGCCTGTCTACTGCAGAGAGGCGCTTGAGGCGCCACGCAAGCCTTAGTCCATGCTATTGAGGTCCACCTGCTGTTTGCCAGTTGTAGCCGTAGTGTCACCCAGTGCCAGCTTCCGTATTGGGGGACTGGACTGTTCCTTCGCGCCAGACGATGCTGCCTGAGTCTCGTTAGCTCGGGCTTCCGAAGCCACCAAGGCGCGTACAAGCCGTCTGGCGTCGGCTTGGGTTGGCATAGTCGTTGACGGTCGTGGCTCCAGCAGGTTGGATCGGAATCGAAGCCCTTTAAAGCTGATATTGCAAGCAAGGCACCGCTGTTCCAATGGTTTCCCCTCGTCGAGCCAGCTGGCAGCTGACCGACGTGGTGTGATGGGAGCAGATGATTCCAGAGGCATATCCCCACCACTGACCAGAGTAGCATAAGCAGCAGATCAGCAGCACGCAGAGCCAGGACGCGGGACGGCCGAGGTCGAAATGGCAGAGGAAGCCCTGAACACCCCGAAGAGCCCCGAAGGGGGACAAGGAAAGGGCGACCACCGAGGGGCACTCACAAAAGTTTCGGGCCCAGACGCTTTGTTGGTGGTGGTGGTGGTGGTGGTGGTGGTGGTGGTGGTGGTGGTGGCGGTGGTGGTGGTGGTGGCATCGGGTTTCGGACAGTCTTACGACGATGAAAGCACAAGAAAAAACAGACCGGTGATTATGTTGATGGTCATGATGGTGATGGCTTTGGCGATGCTGACGACGACGACGATGATGGCTGTGCACTTTCGGTTTGAAGAGGCCTAATTAGAAGCGCAACGAACCGCACAGTGTCCTTCAGAGCGAGAATTCGTGGCTTCACGGTTTCGGGTGATTTGGGCTCTTCCTTCACGTCGTCTTCGTTTGCCAAAAGCGAGAGAAGGCTCGCGGAGGCAGCGGCTGCAAACTTCCAGAACCATACTGCCGCCTTCGCGCAGACGATAGCTTGGTACACAAACCGGGTGACTCACGACTATTTGAACTATACTCTATCCCGGGCCTTCAGCTTAGCCTCTATCTGTGCATGCGCTGGGTGGCAGCAAAGTTTAAGAGCTTGCTGCACTACTTCCACCATGTGTGTGGTAGTAGATGATGGAAAGTGAGACTCCGCCAAACAGGTGTAGTTGATTGTCACACATGGCGTCTTCGACATCGCGAACTCCCAAAGGATCATGCCGGGCGGGCTTGCGCAATAGCAGCCTTCCTGCAAAATGCAAACGAAGCCGCCAATCATCACCAAATCTTCCATTCTCATGCCCTTCATCACGTTGTGAATCTCGGTCCACCCGGGGGTGCTTGCACGCTTGAGTGCCTCTCCAAATGGCATGCCCACGATGCCACGAACCCCTTGTTCTTGAATGCGCACCACACCGAACATGAAGTCGCTGACCCCGAAGCAACTCCAGTTGGGCGTCGAAAACGTCGCCCGCATGGCGCAATTCCTGGCACATCAGCAAACACGGAACACGTCCCACATTTACCGCCTAAGACGCACAACACGAACAAACACCCGTAAACTCAAACCCCCAACCCCCCCTCTAAACCCCAAAACCCAAGACCCTAAGACCCCAAACCCTATATACCCCTAAGCCCTGAAACCCGAAACCCCTAAAGACCCTATACACCCGAGACCAGCGAGCTCCTCTCAAACAGGTGCCACATGTCTGACGGAACTTTGTTTTGATGATGCCGCAAGAATTTTGTAGTAAAGGAAGTTCCCGCAAAGAGCTCTTTGCTGTCCCCACAAGCAAAGACCTGGATCTCAGGGGCAACACACACCACATCAACCACGGAGGTGCACGCAGGCAACGCATGCCACATGTTTCCAGTTTCTGGCCTGCTCGAAGTTCGGGAAGCTTTCGGTCCGCCGCTGCTTGCAGTCGACTCTGCTCTCATCCGCGGCCTCCCGTATGGCATCGAGCACCGTGTCACTGTTGCGCAAGACCTCAGAATGATCAAGTTTCAACTCCTCGCAGCTGCCACCGAAGGCGTCCAATCCGTGCTTCTCGCTGTACCAAACTGGCCCCTCCAAGCATCCAGCTTCGTACTCTGCCGCTTCGACCATCTCTTGCAATGAATCGATGAGCGGACACTCGACGTCAGGCAACGTAATCTCCTCAAACACGTCCTCGGGCTCGGGCTCCTTTGCAGCCTCATGCTGGGCAACTTTACCGGCCTTGGCTTTGGCTTTACCGGCCTGGGCTTTGGCTTTGCCTGGCGCTTTCCCAGCAGCTGCGGCTTTCCTCCCGCTCTGCACGGGCTCGGGCAGAGGAACCTTGTCAGCGGCTTCGAGGTCCACTAGGTCGTCAACCGCAGCTGTCAGAGATGCGGAAGCATTAGACAGGGATTGCTGCGCAGCCTTGAACTTGGCAGAGAAACACTTCACAGCGTCGGCTGGCAAGGGCACCCCGCGAGCATGGACCAGGGCGACGGCCCTATTATTGGCAGGTGAGCGAGGAGCTTCGGCAAGTGGCGAAAACTTCGAGGTAGCCCGATCCCACCGATTGATGATGTCCAGCGGCATCTCGTCCTCAAGGTAATCTTCCGACACGAAGCCTTCCAACGATACGTAGCGCTGCGTGAGCAACTCCCTCAACTCGCACAGATCATGATGGAACCTCTGTGACACCTCCAGCTGTTCAACCACATGCTGCTTCCAAACCGCAAGGCTGCGCGCAGCATTTTCTGCTGCAGCAACATCTGCCGTTTCAACGTGAGCTGTTGAAGCTCCGCATCCGGCTTGCTAAGCTTGCCAGGCTTGCCAGGCTTGCCAGGGGCAGGTATGTCTGGTCCACCACCGCCACCACGCTTGGCCTTATCTTTCGCCTTGGCTTTGGCTTTGCATTTGGCGGTGATCTGCAGGACGCCGTGGCCGGGAAGCGTCGGCATCCTCGTGAAGTTCTCCGCACCTAAGCATGCCACAAACATTCGGAAAAAACTTCCACAGAGTATGCACGACCGGATATGAAAGTCTGGCAAAGGCTGGGACTGCCAAGATTGGAAAAGATGCCAGTGTCCGCAGCAAGCGTTGCATCACTCATCAAGCCTGTCGGCGCATGTGTAACATCTAAGTCCGCAGGCATAGTAAGTAGCAAGACGTACAGAAAACAAGTAACCTAAGAGTCCATCTAAGGCACTCTCATGCAAGTTCGCAGGATCAACGGATTCTTCATCCACTTCCGTGGTTCGTCTGACTCCCTGCCAGGCCAGGTGCACGAAACAGTGAGATTCCGAACACGATCCGAACAAGAACTCCGCAACGAAAGCCTTGTCGTGCATCAGCGAACGCCCAGCTGTTGCAACCACGTCCTCAAGGTAGGAGATGACCACTTCGCCCATTTGGTCTTTCATCCGGAGTATCTTGGGATCCGCCAAAGCCTCCTGCCACTTTTCGTTCTGAGTTTCCTCGTCCCATCCATACTTCTCGACCAGCTTGTCCTTGAACCTGAGCAACTGGCCGCATGGCCCCAAGCAAGGACGGCCTTCATATATGCAAAACAGAAGACTGCTTTTTACAGAAACTGTTGTTGTCAAACTCAACATTGGCTTCCCGTGTCTTCTAACCGCATGAAAAACCTTTCATGCGAAAACTACAGCTGCATTCTGGCGGAGTGCTGCTTCTCGGTCATGAAGGGGCTTAACGTCTTCAGTCCCATTTTGTCCCCTTAGCCGCCAAGAATGAACTCTACTTCTCCCCTCGAGACTCGAGATACCCATGCTGCCATGCGAGCTAAGCCGGCCACGAACAGTGGTGTCTTCAACCGCTTTGAGTGTCCTTGCTTTGCCCCTCTTGCCTTTGAGGGGTTTGTTGGTCCTGATGAGGGCCCGTCGCTTCTTCGTATCCATTTTCTTCCACTCCTGAATTCTGCCCTCATTGAAGTAGTTGGTGCGAAGACACTTTTCCGCTGCACGGCAATCGTGACAAATCCGCGAAGAGGAGCCGCCCCCGGCCGCGGATGACTTCTGGATGTCTACATCCTCTTCGCAGCAATAGCATGTGACCCATACAGTGGGATTGGGAGCGGCACCCTCTGCTTCCAAGCCCTTATCATCATTGCCACGCTCTTTCCCACTTGGCTCAGCAATCTGACCGCTACCCAGACTGGGAGCGGAACGCTTGCAGGGTGTGCAAGCCAGGGGGGGCGGTGGCCTTTTGCAGGCTTTTTTGGCTCTCGCTGCAGCATCAGGACGCGAAGCTGCTGACAAAGTGACGGGCTCAGAAACAGGCACAAGAGCATAGCACGGCTCGTCGTCTTCCATGATGGGGTGACTTGAAAGCGGATGAGAACCTACCCTATGCAAAATGCAATGCCTGGCCCAAAAATCTGCGCCGATGCACTGGCTGACTGTGATTCGCTCACTGACTCCTGCACTCAGCCATGGACGAACACACATGTTTCAAACATCTCTGGCGCGTGTCCACTCTCCGGGAAACTCACACATGACAAGCCCATCCATCAGGAGATTCATCCACCGCCATCGGTGCGACCGTCTGCATCTGGAACCGTGTAAAGAATAAAGCATGGACCAAGGCCCGCCCCACCTTATGCATCTCAACACCAAAACATTTTTCGCTAACGTCTACTTCGGCTACGATATGCTTTCTCAGGCTGCAATGCACGCAGCATGCATGCTGTTCCCGGCCAGTTTGCATCTTGCAGGATTGCCTCACAGAGAAACAGCAAAACTCCCTTGAGCTCGAGACGACAGCGAACCAACATCCAACGTGTGATAAGCGCCCGGCTTAGGCCCGAAAGGTCCATCGGGTCCGCGCCGAGAAGCTTTGCGCGGTGGCTCCGAACCGGAAGCCCGTGAGCGAACAGCAATTCGTCACCACCTCAAAAGTTGGGTAGCAAGGCTCTATCACAAAGAACGACAAGAAGGCCAAGAGAAAGCTCAAACGACGCAAGCATCAGCATAAGGACTGGACTGATAAATCGCTGACCCCTTCGGCTCCACAGAAAATTGCATCCAGTTGTAAGAGTCTGTAAGCAGCCTTCCTTGCCAGACATCCGGGCCCAGCCCGCGGCAGAATCCTGTCCCAGATCGTACACCAGTCGGCCCGGGTACTTCTGCTCATACACGTTGAGACCTATATCGAAGCAAGCAGCAAGCACCGATCAGACATGTTGGCGTGCCACAGAACGTGCCAGGAAACACTGGAAGCAAAAGGTCAAGCTCAGGAGACGGCGGTTGGATTTTGTCTTGGGTTGGCCGAGCTGGGGCAAGTCGGCAACGAGAAAAGAGTCTAATGTGCTCGTGATGTCTGCATGCATCGTGGCCACCACATCTTGGATTGGCGCTCTTTGCCTGCACCGCTCTTTGGCCGTTCCGTGTCAGCCGGCAAGTGCAGAAAATGGAAACCCTGAACAACACCTAACCCTGCCTGACTCTGTCTTGCTTCGTGCACACAGTGTACACTCTCTTTCTGCATACAGGGATACCGCAATTCACGGCAGGATCGATCTCGCAAAATGTGACATCATAACCTGCGGCGCAGACCGACCCATCCAAACTTCAACGGGACACACTCATGTACTGGCTTGCTGTGCGGCAACCAACAAACAAGTCGGCTGGCAGTCCTGGCAAATATTTTTGCAAGATATGTTGCGGGAAGGCCAGCACGTTCTCATGAACCAACACATCCACCTCCGACTGCCGAACGGCTTTCAAACATACCATCAAATATTTGGCTGTGCGCCCCGTCAGCTTCGCTCTCTTGCCAGCACAAGAGTAGTCCTTGCAAGCGGTCTGTTGTCTACATTAGAGCATTAAGCTTTCGCTGCATTCAATCACGCACGCAACCCGACTCATCTATACGCAGCTCAATCGAGTGTCCACACACGGGCTGCCCGCAACCAATACTCGAAGTGCTGTATCACCTGGCTCCCTTGGAGGGAAAAGACGCTCACAGAGCTTCCCATGTTCCAAGCAGTGATCGAAGGTGTTCAACTTGAACTTGTCATTCATCAAACCGCTTTGCTGCAATCTTTCCTCCAGCAAGCACCTTAGCCAGCACACAACTGCGGGGCAACCAAACAAGAGCATCCAGTGCCTGTGAGACGAAAGTGAAACGCCCAAACTTGCAAGCAACGCTCCAAGCAACTTTTGTCGAATCAGTAAAATGGTTACTCACTATGCGAATTGCTCTTGCCCCAATATGGGCGCTTAGGCTAAGCACCCATTTTAGCACGGGAGCAATTAGAAAGATAGTGAATATGACTCCTCTTGGGCCACCAGAAGCGAGCATCATGAGCATCAGCCGGGTCCTGCCGGCCCCAGGCGCAAAGCATCATGAGCATCAGCCGGTTTTGGGGCCTGGGAAAATTGGGGCGGTCACCGGGGCACCAATGTACGGTCACCGGGGAACTTTAAAAGTGTTGTCACATTGAACGAACGTTGGCGGGCATCCTGGCTTTGATTCGGTTGTAATGGGGTGAGGGCCCTTCTAAGATGCACACAAGACACCTCACAAGCCCTCAGAAGCGACCCTGGCACAGAACTTTTCGGCACAACCATACGAGCATCAGGAGCATGAGCAGGATAGTTTGGGCCGAAGTGCCCAGAGAAGTGCCGAGAGAAGTGCCGAGAGAACTGCCGATGAGAAGTGCCGAAGAAGTGCCGAAGTTCATCGGCACTTCTTCGGCACTTCTTGGAAGACTCTAAAACCTCTATCGGCACTTCTTCGGCACTTCTTGGGTTATCGGCACTTCCCATCGGCACTTCTCATCGGCACTTCTCTCGGCACTTCTCTCGGCACTTCCCTCTCTCCTCGGCAGAGCAATGGCAACAGGAACCTTGATCCTACCAGCCACTGGACCGGGTCAGGAAACCGTGCTATGGAACCGCAACCCCACCCTGACGAGAACAACTGGAAGTATTTGGGGTGCATCTTGCCTCAGCTGTGGGGTAGCAGTAGTTGTTTGAAGGCTTTGCGGCTTCGCTCGGCGTTCAGGATTCGGGCTGCGGGTTTAGGCTTTATTACAAGAAAGCCTTAGGATAATTTGTCCTATACGAACCAAGGTTTAGGAATGTCCGATAGCCTCCTGCGCACACCCGCCCCTCCTGGCGTCAGACATGAAACCTGGTCAACGACGCATGAACCCTAAACTCTACATCCTAAACCCTTACACCCTAGACCCTGTAGACCCTACGCACCTAAACGCAAAACCCTTAGACCCTAACCCCGAAACCCTACATCCTTATTCTTTTGCTAACCCCTTGACTCTACACGCTAAACCCTTACACCCTAGACGCTTACACAGACCCTAAACCCCTAAATCCTAAACTCTATAGACCGCGGGAAACTTTGTTTTTGACTGCATCCCGAACTCAAGCAACGTGGGACACAAGCAGCAAAGCAGACCGGGCTCAGGGAGCGGCGGGCGGGTGACCCGAAACTGTTGGAACGGCTCCTCTGAAAGCAAAAACTCCTGGAGGGATGTACATGTATGCAAGCGGCACGCATGACTGCTACAAGCAGACACAACTGATCAGGCTGCTCGGTCCCGAAACTTCGGATACTCTCCATCTACAAAGGTGCGGCCGGCAGGCCAGCCACCAATCGTGTATAGAGAAGAGCGGTCTGCGTTGAACAGGAACGGCACGAATACAGCTGCGAGGCGTGGGATCTCGATGTCAGACAAGTCATCATCCCCGGCACGAGCACGGCACACTACATCATCATAAACTGTCTTGGCCACGCTTGCGCCATCGCTGCTACTCTTGTCGGGGGTGGTGGAGCTACTGTCACTGTCGCTACGGCTGCTGCTTCCCGACGACGAAGGCGTTTCAGGATGATCTAGGTCGTCACTGTCTCTGAACTCGGACCCTGGATCACTCACAGTCTCCGCGTAACATGGGGATTCCACCTTGGCGCGCTTGATCTTCACAAGCACATCCAAAAGGAGCCGTCGATCTAACTCAACCTTGGTTCTAATCCAAAGCTTAGCATGATGAAGGCTCTGCTCAGCTCAGCTCGCTCCCCCCCCACCACCGCATACAAATCCTACGATCTGCACTTTGCATCGTGGGACATGGCTTCGCAGCGAAAACTCAAAACCACACACAGAAGGCCCAAGATCCACCACACCGAACGACACCTTAGTTTCGGCGCCTAGGCACGGTTTCCTCAACGCTGTCCGTCTCCAGGATATCCCGAGCTTCATCCGGCACAAGATCCATGATGTCCTGCCGTCTAGGTACACCCTTGACGGGGCTTAGGGCTTAGGTATCGTTCAGGGTTAATTTTGAGGTTTAGGGTTTGCCTAGGAGGAAAGTTGCGTTGCAACTTCCCAGCAGCTCCCATCACAACAAAGGCGCATGCAAGAGCAATGTCCTTGAAGCGACAGTGGCTGGGAAAGTTGTTGGCGGCTACTCTCTGACACTGCTTGTCCCAATCTGCTGACGAAAGCAGATCCAGTTTGATGGCAGCAGGCTTACCAACACGATTGTTGTACTCACTTGCAACAGCTCTGGCCGCGTATTCGGCCGTCAGGGCACCTGAAAACTCGCTTCTCATCTGAACATACATACTGCAAGGTGTGATGCCGCGAGGGATAAGACGAGTCCATGCCATCGGCTCATGTTGTTCCAACAACCTTGCCCTCTTCCGCTCTCCAGACCAGGGGGCAGTTGTCACAGAGACCGGAGGGGCATCGTCCATATTGGTTGTATTTTACACTTTACACATCTAAGATTTTGCGATATAAGAGCTGATTTTGGTGAACTAGTTTCCAGGGGGAAAAGGAGGGACCCTTGATGCTTTAACGGGCTATATACTGGGTATAAAATAGCTGTATTAAGGTGATATCTCTAGGGGTCCTTATTCAAGGGTCCCTCCTTTACCCTTGGATAGTTGTGCCTTACACCTTCAGGCTCTTGCGATGCGAGCTGCAATGGCTGAAATGATGACAATGTGGGGTACTGGTTGTATTTTACACACTCAACCTTTACTCAAGCTTTTGCGGCACGAGCTGAAACGGCTGAAATGACGGCCATATGGTATACCGTCTAGTCACCGCTGCATCTAAATCATTCGGGACGGTCGCTGGCAACATCATGCAAAGGCGCTTAAACGCCGGTCGCCATTAGCAGATGTCACACGGCCTGCAAGCGACATATCGTTCAGTATAATATGACAAGCAGCAGAAGCTCGCACTCGCACTGCTCACACAACTGCACAACATGTCTGTCACCGCGCATGACCGAAAACTCACGAACTTGCCCATCTACAGAAAAAACGGCCCCACTAGTACACTACCTTTCTTTCCAGCCGGTCAACACCAATCCAATGCCGACGAGACATCTCGACAACCGAGCCCTTCGTTGGGTTTGAGCCGGGGGCGGGGCAGTGCTCAAGGCCTTTGACAGGACTTGAGCACTGATCTTGAGCCATACTTTTGGAATCGGGGAGCACAGGGGAGTTTTTTATCTATGTTGGAGTTGATGGATGAATCAAAACGCAATTTGAAAAAATGCGAAAGGGGGGAGAGTATATCATATCGGAGTCGGAGCGCAGTTGAGGGTTTAGGGCTTGGGGTTGAAGGGTTAAGGCTGTTGAAGACTAAACCAACAGGCACCCTGAGTGCAAGCTACTGCGCATTTTTGCCCACACAGAAATCAGATCTTTCCTGGCACTTGTGGGCTCCTTGCAGTTAAACTACACCGTGACACCGTGCTGTGGGTTGCAGCTTCGGCCTGCAACATATGACCAAAGAGTCTGGTAATAGTTCCCGAGCACTGAATCAATCACAGTGTGTCTCCTGGTGAACACATCATACCGGCCCCAGAACTGCCTCTGGTTCCGCGCTACTTCCACCATGGCCCTCTCCACCTTCTGTCTCGGCGACAGGGCTATGTGTTCTTCGCATTGCAAAACGGACAAAAGGTACGGCAAAGCGATCTCGATGATGGCAGTTTTGTGGTTGTTCCAAGGTTTAGGGAACAACTCATCCCACGGAATTTCTGACGCCAACAGTACTGCTCCTGCGCCTCCCTCGCCTTCTGGAGGATCATCATCAATCGCCACAAGACATGGACCTGCAGCGATGCGAAAACATGTCAAAACCATGCATGCTCTGTGCTACCTCTGACAGCTACACCGGATGAGACTCAGCCCGAACAGACCTGGTGCATCGGCGGCTGCTTCACCGCAAGATTCGGAGGACAAGTCCACCGCATCGGCCGGCATATCGTCCGCAGGACTGTGCTCACAATCGTGGCTGCTGTCCTCAGACATCAAACATACAAACAACGCCCCTCACGCAATTCATCTCCACGTTTGGCTTTGGGCAGCCGTGCTGCTTCGATATCAATGAAGATGGTCGGACGTGTCTGGCCCCGACATCTCGTTGCTTGTCCCACGCGCCTCCTCGCAGCGTCTCCCTCTCAAGCTCACTCATTGTCTCTGCCTCCCTCTCTCTACTGTGTTTGTCTCGGCCTTTGTCGGCGAGACCCTGCTCCCGGTTGGCAGCCTTGGCGAGGATCTGTATCACTGCAGCCTCAGTAGCATACCAAACTCAAAGACTACATCAACTTGCGCACTCCGTTCACCAACTGTTCATCTGAGCGGCCTTGCAGAAATGACTTCAACTGTCTGTAGAAATCCGCCTTTTGCCCGAGAGGCACGAAGATCTCATCCTGCTGGGGGCAACTTCAATGGACATACACAAACGATATCTCGACCCTGTCCTCAAAGTGATGCACCACCGCAGCTTCGACAGCTTCATAATGGGCATTGCACTGACTGTGTGAGAACTTGCCGTCAGCTTCCATGTCCACAAGAGCATCACCAAAGTGAAAGAGCAACGAGAAATATGCACCGGGACCCTCCCGCGCAAAACGTCTGGCAGAAATAGAAGCCTGCTTCTTGTGAGGCGTCGAAGACCACCCAGATGCTCGCAACAGGCAGCTCATTTCGTACGATGTTGGCACCGACACTCGAGTGGCTGCTTCTGGCACAGCATTCCTGCAATCAATGCCGTACATCAGCAGCTCCGGCGACAAAGCCGCTGTACCATTGTCGTACATCTGGACGAGACCCTTCTGCTTCACAAACTCCAGTGCTGCCAGGTGGGCGTCTTGCTCGTTGGGCACCAGGCGCCCTCCAGCATCAGCAGCTGCAGACCCCAGAGCTTGCAGCTGCATCATGAACGAGACATCACTCTCGATCGGCTCATCTTCATCACTCAGCTTGTCACACAACGTCTGCATGCTGAAAGCCGCGGCAACTTGGACCTTAGCTTGGCTCGAAGCTTGAAGACGGTAGCAATGCTGCAGACGGCGTGCATAGTCTAAAGTCTAAAGCCTGTTCATGCACACACACACACACACACACACAGAGAGAGAGAGAGAGTGAGTGAGTGAGTGAGTGAGTGAGACAGAGAGAGAGAGAGAGAGAGAGAGAGAGAGAGAGAGAGAGAGAGAGAGAGAGAGAGAGAGAGAGAGAGAGAGAGAGAGAGCCACCCACCCACACACACACACACACACACAACTCAGAAATTTCTGGCCCAAGCGTCTTGCTGAAAGACGTGCAAGTGAGCAATCCTGTTTCTGACAAACAACGGCAGGAGAGCCATTGGCTCCACCTCGTTGGTGAATGACAGCATGGAACCCAAATTCCATCCGGACTCTGTGCGATCCGCCCGGAAAATCCCCAGTTGCGCGATGGCAATAGTACCTTTCCAGCCCTGATACACGAAACTCACGCAACAAGCACGCAACCCGAAAATGCAAGAACCGTACCGCCCGTTTGTTATCTGCAGCCGGGTGGCATCATAACTAAGAGCTGAAGCTCTCTGAATGTACATCCGGCTGGACGGGTTCAGCGACACTACCCGGAACACCCTGAAATCACATGTTTGGTCCGTGTTGCGCACCGCACTGGCTGGAAGAGCATAAACTTTGTCTTTTTTGAAGCATACACTGACATGATCCCGGAATACAGGTGGCAAAGGAGCGGGGTCTGCAAGCTTGCACTCCGATAGTGCTTGCAGGTGCTGCTGCATGGCGTGGCACTCTGCTCCAACATCAGGGTGCATCTGCTGCAGTCCTGGCCGTACACAGCACGTAGCAGGTCTCCCATGCTGTGCCAACGATCGGGCAACAATTCATCAAACGACTTCAAGAAGCGCGGGAGAGCCTCCCGAAATCTCTGGTGCCAAGGTCCGGATTTGCGCCCCGTCGCAACTCTGCGATGGTTGCTGGAGCACTTGATTTGCGCCCTCTAGACACTTGCATGTGCAAATATGGTGTTTTGCTTCCAGGCGCTGCATCACAATGAGGCAGCTGCTGTACAACAGAAGCTGCTGCCGTGTAGGGTCCGCCAAGTGCTGACCAGACCCATGCATTGACATCTGGCCAGAACTCCCCAACTGGACTGAGAAATCACATCGCAACTGCGCCTAAACTGCTCTTTGATGCTGCCTGCTCGAACTCCTGCATCAGCACGCGCGCTGCCTTTCCTTCTTGGAACGTGCACCCCAAAGGAAGCCAGCCAGTTTGAGCACTGACCAGGACGCTTGCCTGGCTCGAAACACAGGCAGACAATCCTGCAGCAGGCCACTTCATATACATTGCATGCAAGGCGCAAGGCGTTGACAGTGATTCGCTCTCCGCAGCATGTAGACCAGCTTCAATGTCTTGTGAACTGTCGTGGACCACAGTCGTGGGAAGCACGCGCTTCCATCACCTAGCCGAACAGCATTCTTGACTGCATGCAGCTTGCGACGAATCTAGAAACATAATTCGAACACACCAAATCTGGGCCTGCATCTAACCTTTTCTCGATGATTTTTCCACCACAATCAAAATCTTCAATAACAACGCTTGACAATCCAATTAAAGAGTCTGCGCCATATCTGGACCCAGACTTAACAGCATTCACACCTTTGCAAGAAGTCTTCAATTTGGAAAAGATCAAGCATGCCAGTGCGGTTCTCGCGTCAGCAGCATCACCATTGTCAAGCAGCCGTAGTACTCTGCAAACATGCTCAACGAGCAGGCTCGGACACGAGAGAGCTTGATCACCTGAAAGATCCGCTGGAAGAGCCGAAACCTGTTGGATCTGTGTCTCAACGGAAGCCGCTGACAGCTGGAGCATTGCATTTTCTAAACCAATCGAGATTGACTGAGAAAGCATTGAAGATGGATTTCTGTCTGAAGAGCCTGACGAAGCCTGCGCCTGCTGGTGAGCAAACTGTGCCAGCTTCTTGTTGCCCCAGAAACTAAGAGTTGAGCCGTCAATGACGAGCTCGTTCAATCATTAGACTACAAGCTTCAGACAGGAACACCAACTACATTCAGTCCCGCAAGTCCGTGCAGTTCTTTCCGAGCGACACCAGCCGCGTATGCCGTTTACCCATCACAAGCGGGAGCGATTTTTGTTGATCCTGAATCGATTCAGCTGGCTTTCACTCCAGAACACGGACGGCTCCCAGCGACATACTGCGGCTCCTCCGATTCCAGCTCTTTGCCAACAGGCAATAGGTGGAAGATATCAGCAACGGGCGCGTTGCGAGAAATTCACTGCTGAAAACCTTCGGATTGGTGGACTGAGCTCCACTGGGAGCGTCTCCC